CTGTGTTTTCAATATATGTTTCAATTATCAAAAAAATTCACACAGAGTTAGAGGAGCCAATATAAGAGCTCAGCGCCCTATAAAGGAGAGAACGCGTACCACAATTTAGGATAGAAATACAGTGTGTTATTTAATTCCACATTCCTGCCTTCCTAAATCATTTACTCCAGTGGAGTTCCTGCATGACTGAAAAAAAAAAAAAAAACATATTCACAGTCCTGTCAAATCCAAGTGTCCAAATCCTCATGAATCTGTTAATGCAGTAGATTCCAGCAGGAAATTGGAAAGTTCAGGGACTTAGGTATCTAAATCCTACTTCCCATATCTTCATTTCTTTAGAAGGTTCTTCAGTTTGGTTAAGACTGTACGATTGAATACAATGTAGCACACTGGAGAATATGAGTGTTATGTCTTTCTGGATTCACTCACCACTGTCTAAACTATAAAAAGGAAAATGTCAGTCCACTAGGAGAGGAAAGACGCACCGGTCTCGTCGGGTTTGAATAGAACGTATTATCAAGTGCTGTGGTTAGATGTGCTACTGGGATATTTCTTCCTGTCATTCTCTTTAAGAATTTATGGAGATATCCACACACTGTAAAACCCTCATTTTATTTTCCCTTCGTTTCTCAGCTTCAAAATGACTTGCTTTTCTCCCATAGATAGCTCTCTGGTCTTCATGATGGTTTATCCTTTTTAACAACAAACGCAGTCTTCACAGGCAAAACACAGGGCTGAGCTGGGCAACAAGAAACACCTGTCTGTCACATGTTCCAATACTTTTGATCACTTGAAAAATGGGTGGGTTAAAAAAAAAAGTGTCACGTTTTAATTTTTTATTTTTTTTTTAACACATCGAGATGTAATTATAAGGAAATGAAAGCTATATGACAAATGTCACTCAGTTCTTGGAGCATTTAATTTTTTTACTTATATTATATTTATATAATTTAATTCCATTTGTTGTTATTCCTCCATGTTCTATTATAGCACCTCTAAATAAGGATTTATACCAAACCAGGCTGCCAGCGTGACCAGCATCTCCACCAGAAGGGACGTGTCACCTCGCTGGGTGTCTGGGTTATGGACAGTCACTGAGGTTGATGCGATTCTCTCTCCCAGGCACTTGATAGATAGAAGTTATTAAGTCGGTGTCCGAATCTGTTTATGATGAAGAGCCAGTGCCTGTCTTTTATACTCAAGCCATCAATTCGCAGAAGAGAGGTGGCCTGACACAGATCACAGAGCAGCCTAACGAAAGCCATATCCCGAGCGATCCGAAACACAAAACATTATTCTACGAGTGAGCTGCTTTCTAAATTTCAATACAACAAAGCCAATAACTCAATTATTAAAACAACTCTCTAAAAGATTAACCAGCCAATCATGTGGCAGCAGCGCAATGCGTAATGATAAAATCATGCAGATGCAGGGCAAGAGCTTCAGTTAATATTCACATCAAATATCAAAGGGAGAAAAAAATGTGGTCTCATAGGTGAGTATTTTGGAAAGTGCTGAGTTCTACCACTTGGTCTTTTTCCAATCTTCAACTGTCCAGTTTCAGTGATCCTGTGTCCACTGTACAGATTACACTGTACACTGCACTAGTGCACTGCTCTAGTGTCTAACCTAGTGTACAACTCGTCATATGCCTCCTGCTTGGCCTTAGACACCTCCCTCTTCACTCTGCGCTGTAACTCCTTGTATTCCTGTCTATTCTCTTCAGTCCTGTCCATGTCCCACTTCTTCTTGGCTAACCTTGGATACTATCCTGAACTTCCTCATTCCACCAACAAGTCTCCTTATCTTCTTTCCTCCTTCCAGATGACACACCCAGCACCTTTCTTCCTGTATTATTATTATTATTATTATTATTATTATTATTATTATTATTATTGCATTACACTGCTGCCACATGATTGGATGATTGAATAAATGAACAGTTGTAGAAGTGTTCCTAATAAAGTGGCTAGTGAGTGTATATTAGCCGATGTAGATGTCAATTCCTGGTTGTATAATGTGTAAAGGTTTGTTTTGGTCTTCTGAGTGTTTTCTTACACAAAATTTTAATAAATCTCCTAATCGAAATGAAAGAAAGGCAACTGATTGTGTTAAATTGTGGCGTGACATGAATTATGGACTATTAGTTATGAATAGGATGCCTTACAATATTTAATAAAAGCCTTGGTCATACTAAGATGAAAATTTGTATGTTTTTTTGTGTTCATTGTGTTCATATGCTTATAGAATCACCTTTATTATACCACACATCTTTTGCAGTTTATATACAAGACACCTGTACAAGAAAACAACATGGTACTGAGCTAAATTTTCTAAACGCATTCCCTCAGCTACTGTGCTTGTAATTTCCACAGTGCATTCACACACATGTTCCCTGGGTCTGAGCGTGAAAGAGTAAGAGCTTTGAAAATCCGTCATCAGCTGAGACATGGTGGGATGGACCTCTCTGAGCGCCGAGCTCTGTGCCAAACCAGCCGGAGAGCAACTCGGCGATATTTGGAGTGGGAGAGGAGACGGAGGAGGAGCGGGACCTCGCAGGGCAAACTCCGCAGGGTTTCATCACAAATCATTTGGGCGAGCGATGAGGTCCTGTGGAGTGGAAAAATCAAGTGTCTGAAGTGCTGGTAAACAACTTGTGAACCTGCTTGGCTTGGTAATTATAGGAGTACAAAGTGAAGGGCTTTGTGCGACTTGGAGCCTTTCTGTAGGCGTTTCTTTAATATTTATACATTTCTGAGACCTAGGTGATTCCATGAGTCAGGTGCCATTTAGCCTGTGTAACTCTTCAAAACTTTTATTTTTATTTATTTATTTTTTAATCATTATCACCATTCTAAGAAAACATGCATTTAATCTTTCAAAAATATCTCCTTTTTTTCTGACAGGTTGCATTTTGCTCTTAAATGAATAACAGAGGGGTGTTTTTAGCATAGAATTAGCAAATACACAAAACTGAAATCCATGCTAATGGATGAACGTTTATCCCGTTCTAATGATTTAGTTAAAATGTATTCCTTTAATTCATAATCTACTTTCTGTCTCTAATTTGGGTAATGGTATTGTATTTTCAAAGTGACCTTGTCAGGCAAAATCTCACTCTCATTGGAAATTCTTTTCTTCTTCCCATGATCTTCAGGAAATTCATTGAACCTCTTGTGGAATACTCCAGTATTTTAATGATTATAGTTCAAGAAGTGTAGCTGCTGTGGATAAATGAAGGCAGAAATGCTGTTTACTCTCCTTACAACACATCAATTTGCAAACTTATCCATGCCAAAAAATCCATGCTAATAAACAAAAAAAATGTTAGTATGACAAAGTCCCTGTTAATGAGCATGTTAATATAGAATCAATAATGCAAAAATATCACAAAATGTATCTCATATAAAGGTAGTTACTTGGTTAAGTGGTATGGTACCAGTTAATCATCACAGGTTCATGGACTAGAGTTTATAACTACTTTCAAACATCAAATTCTATGGGTATTTGTTACTTTATTTGAATATATATGGATATTTAAGTATACACATACAGAACTTCAGATTTAATAAGAAGACTACCATCAGCGCATGGGGAAATTCATGGCTGGCTCTTACTGGGAATTCAAATAAAACATTTAAATAAAATTGAATAATAAATAAATCAAACTAGCAAAAAGCCAAATCAAACCCGCCTCCATTCATCAAACTCCTGAGGTTCCCCTGGAGCTAGTGTCTATTTTCAGGCCCTAAATGAACATCGCTATCAATGGGCAGCCACATTCACACAGCGTACACAGTCGGGGATTGCTATTGTTAAGGAGCGCTATTTTTGAGCAGTCCCACTGGACCGAAATGATAATTTCCTCTTGTTGTGCACTCATTGTGTGAAGGATTGTGTGAACCAAGGGAAGGTTTAGCTGTGTTTTGGTCTGTTTGATAAAAGAGCACTAAAGTCTGTATGATGCAGAGGAAGTCTTAACATTATATAATACTGGGATTTGTCTGGGATTCGTATCACATGTGTAGACATGTGAGGTTGTTGTGTATTAATCCTCCTGTTTTACCTCAGCTATATCATATTTTCTTAAACAGACAACAAAGAGGTTTAGCGGGAATCTACCGCAAACTAAGCTGAAACCAAGTACTGTCCAAGTTTTAAATGGCAAATAAAAGATATAGAAAACTTCAGATTAGTTATTGTTATCCTAGCATAGGAATTATAAAGTGTGATTAAGGACAATCATTTTTGTAGTCCATTGCATGGGTCAAAGCACAGGCAAGCAAGGTCATGACAGAAATATCCATAATCATACATGGTAATATATGTGATAGCGTACAATCAGTAACAGACCAATGAAAGAACAGGGCCAGAGACAGGATTTTAACAGAAATAAAAACATGACATTAAAAACAACGTTCATCGCTCTGGGAACTGTAATGTCATGCCCATGTAGCTTACTATTGATTAAGTTCAGTTTTTTGCGCTGCCACGAATTAAAGATACGAGTATGTTCAGGACAATAGTATGGCTTGTAAACGTGGTACTTAGCCACAAATACAAGTAACTTTCTTTTATAATAACTAGGGATGCATGGATAACATTTTTTTCAGACTGAGTACAAATATATATTTTTTTGGTACTCGCGGATTTGATTTGCGTACCATGCTAGTAGTGCTGCCATTTCTCTCTCTCTGGGTTTGTCCCTCAGTGTTTTCCAGTCATTCTGGGGGCATCATGGTGGGGTTCTTCTGATTATGGTCACACCCACTTTAGGTTTATATCCAAATACAGTTGGTGTTGTTCTTCTTCTTTTTTCAGCTGCTCCTGGCTTCTTCTTTCGGCTGCTGGCACCACAGCTGATCACTGGTCCATATATTTGATTTGGCACAGTTTTTACACCAGATGCCTTTCCTGACGCAACCATCCCCAATTTTATCTGGGCTTGGGACCGGCACTGGTAGTGCACTGTCATGTGCAACCCCAGTGGCTGGGGTTGGTTCCCTGGCTGGGAATCAAACCCAGGCTGTGGCGATGAGAGTGCCGAAGCCTAACCGCTAGTCCTCCAGGGACCTAAATATAGTTACAGGTATGGATATGTGGAATACTAAACTGATACATATACAGCCCTAAAATCTACATAATCCAATTAGTATGAATTTGGCACAAAAAACCACCACGCACCACCGGTGAAACATTTGACATTTAACAATGACATTTAAATTAGCACTTGGAAACAGAGATATTCTGGTATTCTCTATAACTGGAAATAAATAAAACAGTGGATATATGCAGGGTTTCATATTTGTCGTCTCACATATATAAATGATGAATGTTCAGGAGAACAGTGCATGAGTCGTCATTACATTTTCTACATGGTGTAGCTTTCATTATAAGAACTGTTCGCCCCATTAGCTGCACAGCACAGTTAGAGGCACGAATTTACCCTGACAAAATACCAGGCCGGGACGTATAATAGTTGAAACTTTTATGTGCACTTCAGTCCTAAGACGTAAATAAATTACTATGGCCAAACACAAACAAACCAATAGGCATTAATAGTCAATTAAAGTCCTTATATAAGCTCTATCCCAACATCCACTAGATCCTCAAGTGCACTAAATAGACTGGAAAGCTGAACACATTGACTGTGTCTTTGACTCTAAAGCTCTGCTAGTACATGTTTTAGGGAGTGAAGGCAGGAACCAAGCAGTCAAGTACTTGAGAGTGTGGGTTAAAATGGGGTAAACTGCTAAGGGTACTCTTGGGAGTTCTTGGGGAAAAATAGCTCATAGAAAAGCGACTAGACTAATGATGTCTCAGAACAACAAGGCAGCACAAAAAAAACACAAAATGAGTTTTTACAATCTTACTGAGTGACAGGCAATAACAGACTGTCAAAAAATGTTTGAACAACAAATCCCAGAGTTCTGAATAAAATAACCTCATGCTACTGAGAATCAATGCAACCATTCTGGTAAAAAATTGAGCACACTCTGGGGAAATCAGGCTCTGATTGCTTAAAAAAAAATTGTTTCTAGATTATGGAGTCCTCAATGTGTATCGTGAACTTGTTTCAGTGAACCTCAGAGCTATGTCACCAGAATCTTAATGCTCCAGTAGGGCCACCTTTGGTGCACAGATATGAGAGTAGGTCAGATAAACAATGATCCCATAAAAGGGTGGTCAAAAACAAAAACAAAAAAACTAATTAGGGTATATGATTAGGGGTACCAGGACCCACACCTGAAGTCAGACCTGGGATTGATGTCTGCAGGTGAGTGCCTGGTGACAGGGAACCCATGTAACTCAGTCAGGTTCAGGAGCCATCTTGTTTGCTCACCACCTGCAAAATGAAGGATCATCAAGTGCAATGCCATTCAGACAGCAGGCATGTTAGCAGTCTCTTGTGTAGCTGAATGAATAGAAAAATGTTACAGAATTGTACCCAGCATGCAAAATTACTGCACTAGACCCAGAACTCAAACAGAACTGCTGTACTACACCCAGAACTTAAACCCAACTACTGTACTGTACTCAAACCCAAACCCAACTACGGCACTGCCCCCAGAAACCAAACCCAAGTATGGCACTGCCCCCAGAACCCAAACCCAACTACTGTACTGCACCGCCTACCCAAACCCAACTACTTTCCTGCACCCAGAACCCAAACCCTACTAGGACACTGCCCCAGAACCCAAACACAAACTACTGTACTGCACCCAGAAAGCAAAACCCAACTACTATAGTGCACCCAGAATCCAGTCCAAGACACAACAGTGCAAAGAATACTTTGCAATCCCACTATCTTGACTGTCACTATCTTGATGGTTACAAATGTCATCCTGTGAGACCTAGGTATTATGTTTGCGTACACCTTTTATCTTTTACAAAAAGAGTGAAGGATAAATGAATATCAAGTCTGTCCATGAACAGAGACTGTTTATCTCCAAGTTTTCAGAAACAAATTGATTACTGAGAACATCCAGATTAAAGAACAGCTGTACACACACTATAAGCTCAGTTCTGTTTACTTTATCAAAAAAAGATATCCCCACAATGTTAAAAGATAACACAGCCCCTCAGAAAAATAAACTGACAAGCTCTCTGAATATGCAATTGGGACATGTCCTCACAGATTCAGCATGCTGGGTAATATGGCAACCTACCCAACTGCCTGTGTAAGCAGAAGTCTGGCACAAGCATTCCTTTTGTGTTCAGACTATACAATGCCAAGAAAGCATGAAAGAATAACAGCAAAGTGTTTGGTTGAGGACGTGAAAAAATAATGCACATAGTCAGCATGGAGTTGTGATATAATAAAAACAGAACATAGCTGTATTTTTTAAAGACTATTGAGTGACAGCAATCTGAAAAAAAGAATGAAAAATATATAGATTGCATAAAACGACGTTAACCCGACTATTTCTGGCACTTGACCTCTCATGAATACAACGCCTCAGGAAGTGTGATTTGAGTATATATTACCTACATTGCTAATGAAGAACAGGGTTATAAATCGCTCCAACACAAACATCAGGCTAACCATCTGCCCATCAAGCATCAAAACAAAGATACAAAGATTTGGCAGATTAGATGGCTATATACTGGGAGTTATTGATACCACCCCAAAACTGATTATTTATGGACAATAGCAATTTGCCAACAATCCACTGTGTTTACTGAAGATGCACTTATTTTAGCCAAAGTTCTGGTCAAAATTCTGGTATTGTGACAACCCTAGTGTCCACTGCCACATGCTTCAAGAGTCCAGAGATGGTCCTTTTCAAGGGTTCTCTTGAAAATGGTGGCCTGGGGCTTGCTTCCACCGTTGTGTTGTCCACATCAAGTCTGGGAACTCTCTGGGGCAAAGGCCCTGATTCTGGAAAAAAAAAAAACAAGTGTGTAAATGACATAAAAGTACAATTACTCATCTACTGTAAATACAAACCCTGTTGTAAGTTTGAAGTACAGCATCAAGTTATTCACTCATGGTCAAGTAGAAAAGTGTTAACTCTTTAATGTAATTGAAAGTCCCCGTGTAAGTTGTTACTACAGAAAGGAAAAATACATTAGAACGAGCGCATTAATATAAACCTCTGATATGCAGCTACACTACTGTCATAGCTGCTGTTATAGAAAGCGAATCAGCACCTTCTGACCAATCAGAGTTCAACAGCACTGTGGTATAAGTGTCTTTTAGCACTAAACCTGCCCATTTTTGCTGCACCAGGAGACAGTAGAACTGCAAGTGAGAACTCTAATATCAACACTGGGTTAATAATGTCACCTCTTTATCCCACTGCTCCATCCTTCCATCAGTGTAATGGGCAAAAGCATTAGCGTAATTATTGCTCTTTATGGAGAAATGAGAACAGTGTAAGCCCTTGATCCTCTTCACCTTCTACTAGGGTTATTTTGCACCCCACACACACACACGGTTTGCTTTCACCCACTGCAGGAAATTCCATGAAAGGAACATTTGCTCTACATGTTATGGATTATGAACAAGGTTTTTTGCAATATATCAGTGTGGTTTGTGGAATCTAAAGCAATAAGGCTTTAATTTTAATTAGTACTGTTCATAAAAAGAGCTTGAGTTATTGTCTGTGCAGAGCTTTGCATGTTCTCTTCGTGTCCATGTAGATTTTCTGCAGTTTTCTCCCACCTCCCAAGAACATGATAGGTGGATTGGCTACTTTAAATTGCCCCTAGGTGTGTAAGTGTGTGTGTGCATGGTGCCCAGCAATGGACTTTCATTAACATTCACTAACATTCCCATCTCTCCATTTGTCTCCTCACCCACCATCCCCTCTCTGTCTCATTCCTACAATTCAACAACTCCTACCCAAGAGTCTTTAGTGGGTGGCTGGTCATCAAATGCAAAAAGGAAATCACCCAGAACTCAATTCAGTTAAATTTGATCTGTATAGTGCTTTTAACAATAGACATAGTCACAAGCCAGAGGAGATAGTGACAAAGAAAAAGTCCTGAGATGATGTGAGGAAGAAAGCTTATGAGGAACCTGACACAAAAAGGAACCCATTCTGTTCTAGGTGACACCAGATTGTGGGATCCTAAATCATTACAGTATGATCGGTATGAGCAGAGTCCTGGGATGAACATAAGACAGTGTTTATGATTTTCAGCAGCAGTACAAGTTTACGGTATCCACGTGAGATTATACTTGGAAGCTATGGTAAGACTTGGGAATATTCATTTTTGTGATGTCCCATTTACAAGAGCAGAAGGTGAGTCACAAATACAGAAAGCTCCAGAGCAAAAGTAGAATGCCAGCACAGGTTCTCCCCCTCTTACAGTTCCACAATACCACTCGGTTGAAGGTTGAAAACCAGTTGGGAAGTTTCATGATGAAGGATTGGCATAGTGGCCAGACTTCACCTCCGGTGCAGAATGATATGAAAATGAGGCTTCTCTTCCATTTATTTGCAAGCCTCTTCCCTGGGCTCTGGTAAATTGGCCTGCCTTTTTTTTTGCCCACTTCACAAGCTGAATAAATAAATTACATTAATTGGTGGCATTTGGATTGATTTCTTTTCAGTTGGAATGCAGAATAGGCTGTGCTCCATCAACTCTGACCTTAATGACTTTGAGGTTTTACTGGCACCAGTTGATTCGCATTTGTCTCATCCCTCACTTTTACCAGCTGCTCTGGAAAATTTGCAAAACAAAATCTAATGCATTGAAAGTTATGAACGTTATTGTGTCATTTATTATTTTATTGTTACGCATTATAAATTGCTATGGATCCCGCAGAGATCAGGCTGCTCTATGTTTTGTTATGTTTTGAGACCACAGGTCAGAAACAAGCTACAAATAAGCAATTGTCTGCTGACCTTGGGTGTTGGTGCCATGAATATCCTCAGTCAGCATCAGCATGGCCTCTCTCTCACATACACGCACACACACACACACACACACACACACACACACACACACATGATGGTGGTAGCATCATGTTGCATGATCATAATTTTTGAGACTTAGCAAGCAAAGAAAAAAAAAATCACTGGTCTGACGAAAACAAAACAAACCTTTTGGCTTTGGCTCA